TCTTGTGCTTAGCTGGGCTTGAGAGAGATGATCTCTGCTTTGCAAACATGGCTGAATTTTGTTGGCTTTAAAAAAAAAAAAGAAAAAATGCTTCAAAAAAAGAGGGTAAAAAACTTGAAGGGAAGGCCCCACAGCAGCCTGAGCTGAGCTGAGTGCTGGAGAAATGGCAGGATCCTGCTTTGGAGCCAAGAGTGGAGCCAAGAGTGCTGCAGGTTGGGGCAGGCTGGCTGCAGAGCGCGTGGAACCTTGTTTCCTGGGTCTGAACTTTGCCATTAAGCGTGGAAGCATCACTGCTGTGCCCTGTGCCATGCCAGCAGGGTACAGAGCAAGTCAGGGCTGGGTCAGGTCCGGTATTGAGCCACGTAACACTGGCAGAGAGCCCCAAAGGCAAAGCTGTTGGGTGGTCTGGATCCTGCCCCTTTTCCCCTGCTGTGTCTCGCAGATTCCCCAGTGCCCTGACCGAGGACAGCGGCTGCAGGGTCTGTGAGCCTCGGGGGATGAGCCACGGTTCCCTTCTTGAATCAAACTGCACACCTGCCGGCTGGCTGCCAGGCTCCTGCCCTGCCCTGATCTCTCCCTTTGACCAGACCACACTGGACTGAACCCGAGGAGATCATCTCGCTTTCTTACTAACCGCCGACGGTTTACGCTTCCCCCTTCCCTGCCCCCAGCCCACCGGTTCTTCTTTTATTTATTTTATTAGCTGTTAGTTTTATTTTTTTATTTTATTTTTTTATCTTTTTTTGGGGGCTCCCCCTTCTTTTTGTTGTTTGCTCTTTCCCGAGCTAGTAGACATATTTTATGAATTGGCTTTGTGATTGTGTTAGGTAGTTTTTATTGAGGAGTATTTTTATTTGGCTTTGAAACTGTTTTGAGTATTTTCAACTCTGTTGTTGTTGTCGTCAGTGTTTTTAAAGCACGGTATGTAATGAGAATGCAGTTCTGAAGGAAAGAAAGAGACGCAGAGAGAGCAAAGGCTGAGAGGAACTGATGTATTTCTATTTTTTTTAAAGAAACTGTTTTTAATTGTTTCTGTTTTGTAAATGTGAGGCTTTGAAAAGTGTGAAACTCCAAGGATCCGAAAACGTTGGACATCGCTATGGAACAAAACAAATGTATATTTTGCTAAGTGAAAAACACTATCTTACAGCTGAAAGAATTTTGTTTTCCTAGGTTTAGTTTTACGTGGGATTTTCTTTTTCCTCCTGTATAATATGTAAATATCGCGAGCTGAACCTGGCTGCCACGCGCAGCCTGGCTCCGAGGAGCAGCTCCAGGTCCTGGACTTGGTGCCGCAGTGTGAGCAATACTCTCCAGCAGAATCCTGACAGGACTCCGTTCTTTTTTTGTACACCTTTTACTGTAAGATTTTAAGACCTCTGATGAGATGAAAGGGGGGGTGGGGGTGGGGTGAAACGTACCGGCCATCGGCTGTGTTGCTGAGCGGGTCAAAGCTGCTTCCAGTCGCTCGATGTACAGACTCCATCGCTGGGCTCCGTAGTGCCAGTGTCTGGTTTGGCTTTAGGTCAGGGGCTTCACCGCCACCGTTTGTCTTGGTTACTTTGAAAGGAATCCACTCTCCAAACGCTATCGCTTGCGTCAAGATTGCCTGGGAAAGGGGATCCTCCTCCGGAGGCGAGGGTATTGGAAGGGGAGTCGGCGGGGGGAGGTGGGGATGGTCGTTCTGTGAGGGCAGGGTGCTGGGCTGGGGAGTCGTTAATGGGGAGAAAAGCATTAGGGTGGTGATTTGGGGGCGGGTTAAGGGCTTCTCAGGGATTATATGAAATATAGAATCGCAGCTTCCCATTTGCTTTACTCTGTGTTCTGAAGACTGTGGGAATTTGTCCGTTGTGCTGTGCGGAGGTGATCTGGTCCCTTCTCCGGAACCTGCAGGGACTTCCCCTGGCATGATCCAGGCCCCAGCTGGGGAACACTGTGCCAGGGGGAGCCTCCAGCAGGAGCACACGGGGCAGGTTTGGGTCTGGATTTCAGTGAACCAAAGACCTTGTTAAGGGGGGTGATTGAGCCTTTCATTAAGATGCAGCCAAACTCTTTTCCCAGGGAAATAACAGCTTCATCTTAAGTTCTAAAAATCATTCCCTCTCTTCCCCCAAACTGAGCCCTTGTAAGGGAGAGGGGTATTTGAAAAAGGACTGAGAGGGCCATCGTGCCCACAGGGCTCTTCTCTTCCATCCCTCCCCCTGTGTGCCGGAGCTTTTCCTGACCTGGGTGATACGTTTGGAGAGTTCTGTTTAGGTAAGAGGGTACTTAACAGATTAGTACTGAAAACACAAAGCAATAATTTTTGTTACTGAGACAAGAGTCTGTATGTCTGTTTTTTTAAATATTTCCTAATGAAAGAAGAGCTGCATTTTATTGGGTTTATTTTTATTCTATATACTTCAAATTTGGGTCTGCGGACAGCGCTTTCCTCCCTCTTGGTACATGCGCTGAACTGCTTCTGTGCCCCCTCCAGACATCCCAGGCCAGCTGTGCTGCCGCTGGGCTGTGAGTCACTCGCTGGCCAGTGCTGCCACTGCCTGGAGGCTGGGGCTCCGCTTTCAGGGTGGGCATTTTTTTAAAAAGAAATAAAGCTGTGTTTTTAAGCCAGTAAGTTATTACACTCCAATGTTTGTTCTCTCCACACCTGTAACCCTTCTTTTCCAGATTTCAGTTTTAAATTCCTAATAAATTATTTGAAAACTGTCCTCTGTCGTTACTCGGGTGGGGGGGGGGGGGGGGATTTTCATGCGGAGGGAACTTGCAGGTGAGTTTGGGCCTGGCAGGAGTGGGCTGCTGTCAGGATGAAAGCCCCAGAGCTTTGGCTGTGTGTTCTGCAGTCCAGTTTATAATGTGAGACAGATCTGCATTTAATAGAGACTGTGCCTCTCCTTTGCATTACAGAGCTCCGTAGCTTCGAGGAAGGGCTGTGTGGTGGTACTAAGAAGGTTGGCTCTGCAGATTCATGGACTGTGGAGGATTCATGAGCCAAGGAGGTTAGACTTAGGAAGGAAAAATGGAGAGATAGGAAGAAGATTCCTCAATAGACAACTCTAACAGAGAAAGGTAATTTCCAAAAGTGTAAATAAAACAAGGTGGGGAATCCTGTGCAGCAGGTCGTCATCACAGAGAATTCTTGAAAATAATTTAAGGCTCGAGCCAGTGACTTTGGAACCAGCTGTGCACTGGGATGGCCTCAAAAGTGTACTGAGCACCAGCAGCTTTGTGCACCGTACTGGTGGGGAAGGCTAGAAAGCTCTGATGGAGAGATCCTTACCCTTCTGGGAGTTTTCCCATACAGCACTGCTGTTTATCACATGCTGACTTTCTCACACTGAGTGATCTCCTTGTTTAAGTCCCAGATATGATAGTATTTTTGATTTGTGACTTAGCAAGGCCAGTTTATTGGAAGTTCTCTTGGCAACATCCATAAAAAATCACACTGAGAAATGGGGAAGAAGGAACGGCAGAGTCCTGAGGATCATCAATAAATGAAGAGAGAAATAAAATATTTAAAAAGAGTAAAGGTGGCCAAAGTAGCAAAGGAGAAAGAGAACACTTAGATATTGAAGGGAAAGGCAGCAGCTTGACCTGTGTCAAAAGATCAAGCTGTTTTTTCCCCAAGTAAGCTGAAGCACTGGCTCCTTTACCTCAGCCTGCAACGTTTGCTCAGTGTGCTCACTGCGAGGACATAGGAATCTGGAGCCTGCAACTCAGCACCTGTTTGGCCTTAGTTAATCCGTGCGTGGGGAATCCCAGAGACTCAGCTTGTAAGAGATGCCTAACTGGGTGCTGCTTTGGTGATGGAGAAACTGCTGCCTGAGCTACTGAAGTGTGCTGTGTTCATGGAAACTCCTCCTAAGGACAGTTCATTTCCAGCACACCTCCCCCGAGGTCAGGTACAAACAGTCACCAGTTCTTGTTTCAGCCAAGCCATGTGGCCTTGCCAGGAGGATGGGTACCGTGCCACCTGCTTGTACCTGAAATTAAATTATCTGTAGTTATTTTTGTTCGCGACGTTATCATTCACCTGGTGATGGTGTGAGATGGTTTCAGCAGTTATGGAGGAAGTTGGCCAAATCTGCACAGCCAAGATGGAAAACAGGGAACTGACTGCATCCCATGTACTCAGTTAAAATCTCTGGTTTCAAACTCCCATGGCTTTGTTGCATTCACACCTTCTTCTGTCGTTGTGGTTGTTTGTGATGAAAATATTCCCAAGAAATTTCAGAGGCTCTCCAGGTTGCTTTGCTCCTCGTTCTCACCCAGGAGGACCTCTGAGAATCTTCAGATTTGGAAGAGACCTTTAAAGACTGTGTGGTCCCACTTCTGTACAATGAATGGAGACACCCACAGCTCCATCAGTGCGCAGAGCCCCGTTCCCTGACCGTGGGTGTCTGCAGGGACAGGGGCACCACCACCTCTCTGGATTATCTGTGGCTGTGCTTTACCGCCCTCACTGTAAACAACTTCTTCCTTCTATCCAGTCAAATCTCCTCTCCTTTCTCCTATGTAGTTTCAAAGTAAAGAACATATTAGGTTTTTTCAGTTCAGCTCACGCCAGATGATCATTTAGGATGAATTAACAACTTCTTCCTAAATCAGGCCAGGTGAATCTGCGGAGAGGTATGGGATTAGTGTAAGAGGGATACCATATGAAGAGCATGTCACCACTAGCAGGACAGACATTAGCATGCAAGCAATTTCCAATGTAAATACTGCACCTCTGTATTTTTCAGCAGAGAACCCTTGAAAATATGCTTACCTTTCAGACTGGCTCTTAATACTAGCACAAAAAAATGTTAGTAGGAAAACCTAGAATACAACTGTTTGCCCTGCTGGCTTCCACTGGCCTTCAGCACTTGAGCCACAACCTGTTGCCTGAAGCTTCTGATAGGAGAAATCTGTTAGATAATACAAACACTGGTGTGTGCACCTCACTTCCATTTCAAGGTGAGCTTGCAGTATAAAGAGCTGCGTTTCCTCCAGCAGCAATCTCCTCGTCAGACCCCACAAGAATGAAGGCTCTTGGCGTGCTGTTCTTGCTGTCGGGTGCGTAGGCAGTGCGTGCCCCTCTCAGCAGCCCCGGCCTGCTGCCTGCACACCCAGCGCTAACCTTTGTGCTTCTCCTCAGCGGTGGCTGCCATTGCTGCTATCTCACCTCGTGCATTATGGGAGTTCCGCAGCATGATCAAATGCACCATCCCAGACAGCAGCCCTCTGCTCGAGTTTAATGGCTACGGCTGCTACTGCGGCTTGGGAGGCAGTGGGACACCTGTGGATGAACTGGACAGGTTTCTACAACTCTGCTGTTATAAACCTCTTTCCTTGGTTCTGCTTTTGTGGTTCTGCATGCTGGCTCCTCCTCAGCCCTGTCTGCAGACAGGTGCTCTGCGGGCACCAGGCACTGATGGGGACACAGGATAAATGCTGCCTTTTGCTGTCCTGGGAGCTGCTGCAGTAAGCATGCACATAGCAGGCACCTCATGGAGCGTGGGCTGGCAGGGGAGGAGTTGGACTTGGTGGTCCTTGTGGTCAGGATACTCTATGAGGTGAGGCCCTTCAAGGTCCTTTGAGCTCTCGGCTATCACTAAATATTTGAAGGGTTTGGTGATTCTTGTGTTCAGTGCCTTGTCAAAATCTACTGACAAATGGTCACACACTTACACAGCCTACAAGTCAGCTGAGTTTGTGTTTCAACATCTTCTCACCTTTTCCTCTGTGTTCCCAGGTGCTGTCAAACACACGATGAATGCTACACCAAGGCACAGTCGGTGTGTGCCGCCTCCAACGATACCCCCTACACAAAGACATACAAATACTCTTGCGAGAACAAGAAGATCACGTGTAGCAGTACGTCCTGCCCCGAGTCCCTGCCGTGCTCTGTGTCACTGTGCCTTCCCTGTCTGGAGAGCGTGTGGCTGCGTGGCTTTGGGGGCGGGAGGGATGTGCAGCGGGAGGCCCTGCCAGGTGCAGTGCCACAGTGATGCTGCTTTCACAGTGTGCAGAACAGTAGGAAACTCATCCTTCCTCGGGGATGCAGACAAGAGCTGTGGGCTCATTAGGGAGCGCAGCACAGCTGTGCCACACAGCTGCTGTGCGACGGCAGAGAACCTCAGATGGGAGGAGCGGCCTGTCTGCAGCCGGGGCCTCGTGCCGAGATGGGGCAACGCGTGGCAGGGCACTGCGCGGAGCTCTGACCGCCCACCTTTCCCTCCAGGTGCCAACAACGAGTGCGAGTTGCTCGTCTGTAACTGCGACCGCACGGCCGCCATGTGCTTCGCCAAGGCACCGTATAACAGCGCTAACCTCCACCTGGACAAGACCAAATACTGCAGTTAAATGCAGCGCGGCTGCCGCCAATAAAAGCCTCGCACCACACGCACCCTGCCGCTCCGTGCAGCGCCGCGGCCTCGAGACGGGGAGGGAAGGAGAAAGGCGGGGAGGGAGGGAGACAGGGGGCGGGTTGACGCGAAGCCCCGCCCCTTCCGCCACCCGCGTCCTTTGATTGGCCCCGAGCCGCGGCGGGCGCGGGGTCAGGAGGAGGCGCGGGCGGCGGCCGTGTGGTGTCGCGCCCCGAGCGGCCGTTATCCCGCGCCTCAGGCGGCGGTCGGGCCGTTCCGTTCCTCGCGGGGGCGGCGTCATTCCCAGCCCTCGGCAGGGCGCGGAAGGCGGGCGGTGGTGCTGCGCGGGTCGGCCTCGACCCCGCTGTTCCTCCTGGCGCTGCGCGTCCCTTGGGGCGCGGCCGTGCGCGGGGCTGAGGCGTCCGTTGGCCATCGTCCGCTCCGGGCGACTCGTGTCCGGGCTGGGCTGCGGGGCTGAGGCGGAGTTAGTGGGGCTGTGTGGAGCTTTGCGGCCTTCTGAGGGCCGTTTAACCTACAGCAAGCTGTGCCTGTAGGAGCTGCTCTCAAAGATGAGATGGAACCCGAGGATCTGCGAGAGGGCTCTGAGAAAGCAGAAGCAGAAGAAGAAGGAAGGAGCGGGCACGGTGCTGTGGGGGGGCTGGGGCTCTGAGGGTGTTAGAATGGTCGCGGGGTGGGGTGGTGAATCACATCCTTCTTAGGAAATAAAATGAAACTTGAGTGTGTGCATCGTGCGTGCAGCTACTCTGTGTCAGGGCAGACGGAGTCCTGCCTCTGTGGCAATGTTCATTTCCTATTTCCCCTCAACTGTGCACATCTGTGAGTTTTCTGGAAGCGCTGAGCTCTGGGTTTTCCACAGAAATGTGGAGGATCCTGGCTGTGTTTCTTGTTCACACTCATCTGGTGGTGCAGAGGACTGGACAGTAGGTTTGAACGGCTCCCCCCAGCAAGACTTCAGGTAGGGAATTTTGTCCCATAGTGTCCAGTGCCAAGCCCCAGGCAGTGGCAGAGATGGGGATGTGCTGGGGGGACTGTGGCTTTGTGTTGCTGAAGTCTCAGCATCCTCTTCTTTACTGTTTTCTAGGCCAAGATTTGCTGGACTCTGCAGGGACATTGAATTGCTCCAACCATATGGGTGTTGCAGCGTTAAAGAAGATACGCCAGCTGAGACAACGCATACAGAAAGTAAGAAACTATGCTCAGGGTAATGACTGTGTTTCTGTTTCTGTCTGCAGACCTATACTACATGTTTCCACTTTTATTCTTCCACTCAGGCTCAACTTTTTTTCTTACAATGCTTTGTAGTGAAGGAGGGGAAAAAAATACAGACTGTGGTAACGAGGTACTTTTTGTTAGTTAGGGAAGGGAGAGGACTGGGGTCTGCACACAAACCTGCAGGAAACATCTGTATCTGGAACAGTGGTTTTAAACTGAAGCAAGTTTGTTGTAGTAAATAGGCACAATTTTGATATGCTTATGCTGAAGCTGCATTGTGTTGTCAGGGGCTGAGCAAGGGCTAGCAGCTCGCTTGGGTCAGGCTCTCCAGCCTGCTTGTGTGGAGTGTGCACGCATCACTCTCTGTGCTGTGCCGTCCTCTGACACAAACTGCTTTTGTTCTTTTTTTCTTTCCCTCCTCTTCTATTCTTGGCCTTTGTAATTGTTGCCTGCTTAGCCAGTTGTCAGTGTGAGTGAGCATGAATTCCTCACTGTCTGTCTGTGTCCTCTGCATGGTTTCCTGTATCTGTCAGGACTTGGGTGCACAGGTGACAGACCCCAATGGGGAATCCTCCACTTAAAAAATCTTGCAGTAACAGTACGATCAGAGGAAAAGGATTACTGGTCTGCTTTCTGTTGTTATTCAAAAAATATCATCCACTTTTTTTCTTTTTTTTTCTTCTTTTTTTTTTTTTTTTTTAAGATCCACCTGAAGAAATCAAAGCTATCTAGCAGCCCATGTTCCAGAATTTCCTGCCCTTTGGAAAGAAAGCTTCAGCCAGAAGAAATCTGGCATCTGAAAGATATTTTCACAGTGTTTGTTTGGTGATGAAAATGGCCCCACCAGTCAGACTGAAGAGGCGAAGTCCTCTATTCTACATTTATTATTTCACGTGTGTAATTTTTTCCGTAATCTAAAAACACAGCTGTTCAGGTGAAGTTAATTTAGATCTTGAAACCTCTGCACTGAGACACTGTAAGGGATTCAGGGTGATGTGATAAGAAATGCTGATTTCAGGCACTTGGCTGAGACCCTCTTCATTCCTTTCCCACTAACACCAGTTGTCCTTTCAGGATTGCTGCTGTTTACCTGGTACCCCAGGACAGGATGTGTGAGAAGGCTCCATCTGTCCTGCCCAAGCCGTAGGTTTTGAGTGAATAGACCAAGGAAAGCAGTCAGTTGGCTCTGCTTTGAAATGTCTGCTTTTTCTCTGTACAGGTGAGAAGAATAGGAAGGGACGACATCCAGGGCTGTTGTGTGGGAAGAGGTACACTCTAGAAGGTGGATTTTGCCCCTCTTGCTCCAAGGCTCCAGAACCTCCCAAGTTCACAATGCCAGAATCTTTGGTCCTTTCTAAGCAATCATGAATCAGCAGGTTTGTTGGTAGGAGCAGTCTGACTGCAAGGCAGCATCCTTCGGGCCTCCTGTAGTCTGTGCTGCCTTCACTGGAGCACTGTTTGTGAAATGCCTCAGGCTGCAGGGCTCTGTTACAGAGTTTGCTCTGAGGGTTTGCACAGAACTGAAGACAAGGATGGCTAAATAGGAAGCAGCTTTTATTTGCTTCGGGTAACTCCTACCCCACTTCCAGAGGAGGGGCAGAAGGATCTGTTCTAAGGTACTCACAGCTCCTGTAGCCAAACCTCAGGAACTTGTCCTAGTAGGAAAAGCTGTAAGAAAAAAGGGAGGAGTACATTGTTTTCAGGCTATTGATTTCAGCTAATTTTATGGGGGAGAAAAAAGTATTGTTGGCTAATGTGTGCTTTTGCTAACCACAGATGGACAGAGCTGCCACTTCAAGTCCAGGTCTGAAATGTTGGTGTAGTGGCCTAACAGTGAAGACCAGAAAAGGTAGAAGGTTCAGTTGTGGTGGATGGTCCAGGCTGGTTTTGAGCAGACAAGGCATTATTTCCTCCCTGGCAAAGGGGGAAGAAATCACTGCCCCAGCTCTGTGACATGCCTGTCCTGTTAGTTTCAGCCAGTGGATGATTTGTGTTCTTTGTACTGAACTGTGGAGGTTTCTGTAACTCCCTTCAGAGTGGTAACTACATCAGTAAGCCTGAAGCAGGCTTCTCAAGATTGGTCTTTGCTAGCTACCTGCAGTGACAGCTCTTGGTAGCTGTTATCTCTCTGCATCGCACCTTGCCGCACAAACAGTCCCAAAGAAGTGACAGGGGAAGGTGTTGGTCAATGTTAAAGCAGGTATGGCTTTTGGCTTAGAACTTCAGGCTTTCTGTGGCATTTCTCAGATGGGCAAACTTAGTTCCCAATGGTGTGTAGGTCAGTTTTAATAGTGCTGGATCAGCTTGGCACCAAAAACAGGACAATTTCGTCTCAACCTCATATACTTATTTTAAACGTATGCTTGTTAACATATGATAATAAACCATGCACAGGAAATTTACTGCAAATGCTCATTATCTGCTTTAAGTCTCTGTCCCTAGCGACTTAAAAGCATGTAGTGTAAGCAGTGGAGGGTCAGGGTAACACAACCCATTTCTCAGTGATGCTGAAGAGACACCCTGCTTCTCCTCTCCCAGATACTCAATGCTGAACTGGAAAAGAGGCACAGATAGAAGGCTGAGTTACCTGTCACATCTGGTAATTTTGAGTCCTCACTAGAAATGAGGCCTCTTGTTTTGGACTCCCTGGCAATGCTGCCATCTCAGAATGTTGGCACTAATGACATCTAACCTGCAGCCCCTGTTTTTAACATGCCCGTGCTGTGCAAGCTTCCAGATGGTACAGAAGATGATGTGGAGAGAAAACCCCGGCCCCGGTTCCTCTGCCAAGGAGGCTTAAATGTCTTCTTACATGGAAAACCTAAGTGAATAAACATGGTGCAGGCGCCCAGGTTGTGTGTAGAAACTGTGATGCCTTAGCAATGATTTGTGCAAAAGCTTTGGTTAGTAGGACAGCTGTGCTGCACAGAAGTAGACACATCTCTGAGCTTTTTTCGCTACCAAACAGCAGATTTCTTCACACTGGAAAGTGGGGTCTCCCTTGAATGGGAGCAGAAGTGAATGCTTCTCATGTGGCTTTTAAGTGAAATATTGTCCCCTTTGGCCCTTAGAACTGAGTGTTGTAACACTGAATATCTGATTCCCTTTACTTTCTGCAGGATCGATCCCCTATATCCACTGGATTCTGTACTTGGGAGGGGTTTGAAGCGACAACAAAAGAGAAGCAACATAGCATTTTGTGGTCACATCTCCTTGCTTTGTTACTGCCCTCTTAGCAAATGACTCTGGCACCCTTGCATCCAACAGCTTGTTAACAGTTCTTGTCAGAATAGTAATATGGGGCATGTTAGGTGAAGGGCAGGACTGGGGCTTTTGAAAGACCCCAACATGGCCAGGAGGGGAGTGGTAGAATGAAGTAGGAGGTTGGATCCAGAATGTAATGTTTCAGGCTGGGCAAGATTCTATCTTTTACTCCACACATGGTATAATTTGTCTTAAGATACCACCCTATGGATCAACAAAACGTGGCTGCCCAGCAGGGATGGATCTGCTGTTAGGAGTGTACCAAATCACATCTATAAAAGCTTGAGGTAATCCCTAGGGAAACCTACTGTACAGATTTAATTGTATCTCTTAATTCATCAGCTGTTAGTAATTACATCCTGCATTTTTGCAGTGGAAAAAATGAACCAAGCTGGCTACTGAGACTGACAATAAATCACAGGAGGGAGAGGAAATTACAACGCAAATAGAAACAGTCATGTAAACAATTTTAATTTGCTACTTAGCTATTCATTAATTAAATAACACCTTTTAGAAATGCATTTTTGAAAAGGCAGCAGTGACACTGAAAGCAGCTCTGGTCAGATTAGCTGAAACTAAATCCTCTGGCATCTCAACAATATGCCATTTTTAAAAGGTTGATAGTAAGCAGTTCAGCTGGCAGTTAGAGCAGTGCTGACTTCCCCTCCTTGCTGATATCAGCTCTGTAGCCCGTGCTTTCAAATAATTTATTACAAGAGCAGTATTCTTGTTCAGCTCCTCTTTTGATCCATTTCTGGGGGGAATGACAACTGTGCAGTTCTTTTTGCCTCCTTTACCCTCTCTGTATGCTCCGTGTTTGCCCACAAATGACCTGGGATCCAGCTGGTACTGGGTGTTCCATATCACTCTCCTGTGCTGTTCTGTGTGGAGTAACTCTGTCAAACTCCCTGTCCTCCATCCTTCACAACTATTTAAAAAAAAAAAAAAGTATTTTGTTCTCAGATGCCTGAATATCCTGTCCCAGTCCGGTCCTCTGCCAGTGAATGCAAAGAAAAGGAACTGTTTACACAGTAAGGGAAGGCAAAAAAAACTCCCTCCTTTCCATCATTCTTCTCCTTCCTTGTTAAGTGGAGACGGTTTCAGTGCAGAAAACTGTCAGGCTGACGTGTGAGGCTTGCTGCCCTCTCCTGGCATCACCGGGTGCCACATGTAAAGATCTGATGGCTGCCCTTCAGACCGAAGTAATTCCCCTGTGGAGAGATGAAGTCCTGCAGGAATGAAGAGAAGAAGCTGCTTTACAGATGAAATTTACATTACATTTACATTACATTTACATTATTCACATTTCACAACAGTGGTGTTTTGATGAACCAGATCAGTTCAACCAGGCACAGCTTTCAAATCAGCAGGGACTGGAGAAACCCCCAGGAACCCGCTCTGCTACCAAGAAAGATTGCAGCGTGCAAAGGCACCAGCACTCATCATGTTCTCTGAATCTGCAGATGATCCCCTGCAGCTCTGCCACTGTGCCAGACAGACTGGGAGCACCCTCATGGTTGTCCATGATGGCAGGAGGTGGTACCACAGCCCACCTGAGCACCCCAGGGACAGGTGGGAGGATGCAGCCAGGCTCCGATGCTCTGAATGGATTTCAGTTGTCTGAATGGATTTCAGTTCAGCTCCAGCATCTGCTGGCTATTTAAACCCTCATTCTTACCCTTTACGGTGACTGCCCTGGGAGGTACCCACCTTGTAGAGAGAATTTTACCCCTGATAGCCACTGCTGCTCAGCTCGTTGGCTCAGTGTGCAACTATCAAAGGCAGCAGCTCTCCACAGCGGGAATTCAGCTTGAGGGATGCAAAGTGATCTAACCTCGTGGGCCCAATGTTGAGGACTGCTATTGGCAGCTGCTTCTCTCTGGCTGCCAGCGCAAACCTGTAACCAGAGTACACCTGCAGGAACACCAGAAGACAGAGTTATCGGCAGCACAGGCAAAGAACAGTGACAGAAAGTGAAACAGATGATGGTTGGCTGGGAAATGGGCTGTATATGTATGCTGTGTTCTGCAGCTGCACTTAATTCAGGTAGGGGGTTTCTCCATTCAGAAAAAGACAACAATTTTTAACCTCTCACCAGAGAAAAGTTTTCAGTTTTGGAGAAAATACATCAAAGGGAAAGTTCTTGTCTTTCACTAATTCTCTGCAGCAGTTTTTGCTACTTATCGTAGGTCCTTAAACGATTCTGCTTTGGTGGTTCTCACATGGCCCAGCTTAGGTGCTACAAGAATGAACCTAAGGCATTTCAATCATTCCTGTATGAAGGATTATGAGCTCAAAAAGGGTGAGCTCAAGGAATTTATCTCCAGTATCCTGAAGCAAAGAGAAGAGCAATCAGGCCTTTGGTTTATGCCTTTCTGGAAGGTGTTAAAGTTGTTTTTCTTAATGTAATAGAACTTGTTCTTGCAAAAATTGCTTATTAATTCTCCAAAAGCTTCCACAGGTTCAACAGCAGGGTTTTCTAGACCACCTTACCTTGCACTTGTAAGATAATGGCTAATAGAGAGAACACACTGTGATACAACGTGCAGCAAGTGGAGGCTTTTCTGCTCTCTTCCTCAGAAGTTTAACTAGGAATTAGAGGTCCTAAAATCCAAATCCCAACAAACAGTAATAATTACTGAGACGCTGAAGTGGCTGTGGTGATCTGCTGTAGGAGGCAATGCAACAATCTGCCAGCAAGCAGCCGTCCTCAGCTATGGGACCAAGGGCTGCTGCAGACAGCAGTACAGAAACAGGAAGTAGCGTGGGAGGAAGACTTTGCTACCTGCATAGAGGATCCTGCCACCAGCATGGAGTCTGACTCTGCCAGCCGTTGGTGCACAAAATCCACCTTTTCCCGGCTCACTGTGTCTCCAAAGAACGTCACATCAGGCTTCAGGATTCCACCACACTTCCTGCAAGCTGGGACTTGGAAATTGCGCACCTGCTCGTCCGTGAGGAAGACATCCCCATCTGGAGCCACACCAAGGGCTTCAGCTTTCCAGCTAGGGTTCAGAGCTTCAAAGTGCTCCTGAAGCTCAGAGCGTGAGGTTTGATCACCACAGGTCAGGCAGAAAACCCTGAAATGCAGAGCAAAGCCTTAACAGAGACCTTTACATCAGCTGAAGCCCTGGAGCCATAACTTGTTCCTTACAAGGCCTGGGCAGTCTGTTTCCATTACATTTATGTACTGCGTAGTGCAGTGAGAGGTAGATTGTGTTTTTGTAGTGGAAATTCCCAGTATTTCTGTATGTAGCATAGGAGGTAAGTTGCCTTTCACAAAGAAAGTTGCTGAAGAGAGTAAAGTTGAGACTGGGGCGTTCCAACCTAGGTAAAATTGGCATGGGCACTAGGTAAGGTAATCGTATAGGGTAGGGAGAGTCTGGTACAGGACAGAACAAGCGTGCAGATAGTTGAAAATATTGTCCTCCTATCACCATAAGAAGTACAGAACCCAAAGACAGTGGGTTGGTAACAGACATTGTATGGAAGCGTAACATAGCAACAGTGTTGGAAGACTGTGAGCCTGAGGTGCTGAACCAATGAGTGCCAGGAGAGGCTTTAGCTGCGTTGGACCCAGGGTAACAGTGGATTTTACTGACTAGTTGCACAATTTCTGCCTTGTCAGTAGGGGGTGTGTGCCCATTACTGCAATAATGAATAAACTGCTCGTCACAGAGATCTTTGCCTGATTAGAAATTTTTGATCTTGAGCGTGTTTCTCACACAGGCCAGTGAGCTGTCTGCCTGCCTCCAGCTGTTGCTTTGCAGGGACGCTCTACTCTATGCACTTTGACCCCTACCTTAAATTCCCTCTCACAGTCAAGGCTGTGCTTTTTCATCTGGAAGTTTTGGGTGATCACAGGCAGCTTGCAGTGCTCTGCTCTGATGTGCCTGACCTGAGCGTTCCTGGCACTGCCCTCTCACCTTTGAGCCCCCCATCTCCACTAGCACAGCGCATTTATGTGCTGTCTCCCTTCTCAGCAGCTAACACTGCACCTACACACTGGTGACCCAGAGCAGAACAGCAATGGTCAACCATCTTCCCTCTACCCAGAGAGTACCTGTGCGTGCAGCCGTGCAGTTCTGTCACGCGCTGGCTCCCAGCTTTGGTGTGAAGCGCATCCACGTTCTGGGTCACCAACCAGTGCAGCTTCCCCAGCTTTTCCCACTGCCTCAGCACCAGGTGGGCCGTGTTTGGCTGATGGGAGGAGAACTGTGGCCAGCCCACGAAGTTCCTTGCCCAGTAGCGCTGCCGGGCGCTGGCACTGCGCACGAACTCAACGTGCTGGATGGGCCGCCGGTCCGACCTGGCATAGAGCCCCACTCCTTCTGAGCGGTAATCAGGGATCCCCGACTCAGTGGAGATTCCAGCTCCGGTCATTACAAACAGCTTCTTGGAGCTGGAAATAAAACGCTGCATCTCTTCTACTTCTGCGGGATGTGGGGGGAGGCAGGCCGGTACAAAAGCCAGGTTTGGGGACACGCTGGGGACAGAGCGGTGCTGGAGATGGTGTGGTCTGATGGCTCTGCAGCCTCCTGGGAGCTTCCTGGCAGGAAACATGTTGAGCTAAAAGCCAAGAACAGGACACGAGGCAGGTAAATGAGAGCAAAGGGCCCGTTGTCTTGCAATTCTCCAGAAAATGACGCTGATGGTTCTTTGCACTTTTTTTTTTTCCTTTTTTTTTTTTTTTGTAAAGAAACCCAAATTACCTTGGAAATAAGACAGCATTCCTACATTTCCATGTCCTGTTCACAGAGTAACACTGAGGAAAGCTCAGAAGGTACAGAGTGAAACAGTAATTGGCTCTAAGAAGAACACCCATCCCAATGTTCCCAGTGGCAGCTTGGCACTGCTTAAACTGCTTCCAGCGCCCCATTCTTGTCCCTCACCATCAAAAGAGCTCTCAGAAGGAAATGTTTTGACGGGGAATGAAATGGAGCTGTGACCCACACATGGAGACAGCGTGTAGGCTGGCCCACAAAAGGGGGATGCAGGGAAGGCTTAGAAGCAAAAAAAAAATATGTCTGAGAGACACTGCGGAGCACCAGAACAGCATCAGGGAAAAACTTACAGAAGAATTCTTGGGAAATGCAAGGCTGCCGAGTGCTCAGACGTCAGCGGCACAAACCAAAAAGGCCCACGGATAGCGTTGGCTTTAGCACCCACCCGAAATGCTGTGCAGGCAGAGGACAGGCAGCACAAGGCAGCAGACAGGCCGGGAATTCAGAGCTGTGCCACCCGGGTCCTTTCTGCTGTAACAGCGACATGGCGGGGTCACACAGCGACGTGGCTGGTGAGACAGCAATGTTACAGCAAACAGAGCCCAACCGCGTACCTTTCATAGCGCTGCCAGCTCCGAGAAGGGCTTCCTGCCAGCAGGGCTTTGTGGGAAGCGCAGTCTGCACGCAGCTCAGCCCTCAGCACGGCGACTACAGCTCCCGTGGTTCAAAGAACAGAAGCCCAGCTTCCTGCAGGGTTACAGCCCTCGTGCGGCGCCGGGTGCCTCGCAGCTGCCCTCTAGGAACAGTCCGGGAATAAAATAAACTCTGATTTGTGTTCAGATGGCGGTAGCAGCTTTGATAAAATGCATCGTAGGTGCTTGTATTAAAAAAAAGGCATTTTCCCTTCCCTGCTAGTGTCAGGTCCTGGCCTCAAAATGATGAACAGTGGGAGAACTGAGGGCTCCCAGCGTGCTCAGCCTGGTGTATGTGTGGCACAACTGGAAAATATGGGCACACGTCAGCAAGGAGGGACAAGTCGTGGAAACCAGGTCTGCTGCATTGCAGTTAACGTGGCCAAGCCGCTCTGCGTGCAGCTTTCTAGGGAGGCATGGAGGACAAAGGTGAAGCTGCTGCAGAAGGTGCAGCTCTGCTGGCTCAGTGAGCCACTGTGATGATGTATGAGGTTGGATATCAGGAAACAGAAAGGGTTTACAGAAAGGGTTGTTGAGCACTGGAATGGGCTCCCCAGGGAGGTGGTTGAGGCACCAGCCCTGATGTGTTTAAAAACCGTTTGGATGTGGCGCTCGGGGACGTGATTCAGCAGAGGTTTGTTAGGGTAGTTGGGGTTGGACTCGATGATCTTTATGGTCTTTTCCAACCTGAGTGATTCTACGATTCTATGAGGTGGCAGAAAGCCAACGGAGCAGCAGTGGTGCGTGGTGAATGATACTGAGGCTCAATTGCTATTAGCTTTAAAGGTTTTCAAACAGTTCCTGAAAAATCCTGTATGCCTTACAGTCTGCAGAGGCAGTTCTCTCGTTGTCTTGCAAGGAAGCCGATCGGTTTCGGTGCTGGCTTTCTCCGGGCAGTGATGCTCTCTGCAATTCGGTTATTCAGAGTTTCTGGAAAACTGGATCCCGGCTGGAACAACCCCTGTGCTGGGCTGCCTGCCTGCTGCCCCTGCCAGCACCTGGTTGTGCCTCTCTGCTCGGTGCACGTTTCAGTCTCCACATTCCATCCATATTCACGATAAACCGCAGGATTTGAGGGTTTGTTTCATTAGAGAGGAGCCTTTTAAAAATAATTATTACTTTACAAAAAGGAGGAGAGAAAAAAGGAGAAGGAGGAGCGCCCCGCCGCACAGCACAGCCCGATCCGGCCGCCCACCTACCGGCACACCGCACGCTCTCCGAACCCCTCCTCGCTCGCAGGCGCCGCCCGCCGAGGGCCGTGACGCGCCGCGCCGTGGCGCCCCTTCCCTCCCCGCGCTCATCAGCATAGCGGGCTCCCGGCACACCCCGCGCGCCAACTCCGCCGCCGCTCCGCGCCGCCGCGCTCATCCCGCACACACGGGCGCTCCGGGCGCGGCGCGGCAGCGGAGGGGAGCGCGCGGGGCCGGAGGCGAGGGGCGCGCGGGGCCGCGGCGGCGCGCTCTGATGTAGGCGGCGGTGCGGCTGCGGGGGCCGCGGCGGCGCGGAAGGAGCGGTCAGCTTTGCGCAGTGGCAGTATCGTAGCCAATGAGGTTTATCCGAGGCGCGATTATTGCTAGTTGAAAACTTTTCCCAATACCCCGCCGTGACGACTTGAAATATAGTCGGCATTGGCAATTTTTGAGAGCCTCCCCGGAGGCTGATTTCTCGTGGTTAACGGCAGAACGATGAATGCTGAGGATGTTCCTCGCCTCGTGTTTTCTTTCATTCTCTCACTCCTTAACGTGGAGCGTTCTCTCCCTCGGGGCGCTCCCAGCGGCCCGGTGGCGCTGCACGTTCCCGGAGCAGCGGAGGGGATGCCGCACCCCGAGGGCGGGGCTGGGATCTGAGGAGCGCCCCGCCGGCGGGGAGAGCCGGGGTTTCCCGCGTGACGTCATGCCTGCTTTGCATAGCACTTCCCAGCATGCCTCGCGGCCGCCCGCTGCCTAACTCGGAGGTGGGCACGACGGGGGGCTGCGCTCCTCACCGTACCCCGGGCCCGCCGTACCGGGCGGGGCGGGCGGCAGTAAGGGCGGGGGACCTGCGGTGATGCGGGGCCGCTCGCCGTGACAGCGCCAGTGGCCCCGGTGCCTGGGGTGGCGGCGGAGAGAAGGGCGATCAGCTTTGCGCAGTGGCAGTATCGTAGCCAATGAGGTTAATCCGAGGCGCGATTATTGCTAATTGAAAACTTTTCCCAATACCCCGCCATGACGACTTGAAATATAGTCGGCATTGGCAATTTTTGACAGTCTCTACGGAGACTGAATCGTAGTGGTTAAAAGCAGAAAATCTCATTCCTTCGTTGCTCGAGTCTGTGGTACCGGCGCGGCGTCTCGCGGTCGTGGCGCGGTTCTCCTGCACCGCGGTGGGTGGGGAAGGCGGCCGAGCACTGAATGGAAGCCGGGCTGCAGCTGTCCTGTTTTCCCTTCCTTGCTGGCAGCATCCACGTGGAAGTGCGGCCTGAAGCGCAGGGCTCCGTTGCACGCCTTCCAGTCGCGCTCTGGGGCTTTGTACGCGTTCTTCTCTGCCAAGCGTTCAGTCTGATGCAAATAAGGGCGCTGCTCGCAACACCGCCGGAGAAGTGAGCTCTGATTTCTCCTGGCTGGCAACCTGAGCGCTGTGCGGGGTCACGGGGCTGGCCCGGCAGCGCCGGCTTCGAGAGGGATGGACGGAAGGCTGGCAGCAGCAGGTGCTCTGCATGGGGTCGGTGCTTAGCTTGACTCATTGACTTCATTTCCAGCTCTCTGACCCGCTTGCCATCTGCCCAGCGGGGCGATAATTCCTTACCATAACTTCTGCAGAAGATAAGGAAGGAGCCGAGTCACAGCGCGCTGCAGTCCCGGGGCAGAGTGCAGGAGGGGAATGGTGACACGGGCTAAAGTTGCTTCCAGCAGCCGGGTAGCCCCGCAGCAGGCATAGGGCGAGCTTCGGGGGCAGAGCCGCTTTATTTTTTGTGGGGGGCGGCTGAGGGGACGGGGCGGGCTCAGTCCGGAGCGGGGCGGGCTCAGGGAACGCCTCGTCGCCCTCCGCAGCTCCCAACACGAGGTCGGAGCGCGGGGACCCCGAGCTGCCCGCCGTGCCGGGGCGTTTCCCTCGCTCCCGCCGGCAGGGGGCAGCCGCGGGCACGCGCGACGCCAACGGGAGCGCGCGGGCGGCGGGCACGCGCGGGGGCGGGGCGGGAAAGTTGCGAGGCGCTGAGGAGAGCGGGCGGCGGCACCACCGGCACCATGGACGACCTCGGTGAGTTCCCGGCGCTCCTCAACGGGCTGCGGGCCGCCTCTCTGGCCGCGGGATTCGGCCGGGATCCGTGCCGGCGGCCGGGGCTCCCCGAGGTGCCGCGTCCCTCCCGCTGGCCGCTCGGGCCCGCCGCCCCGGGGCACGGCACGGCTCGGCTCGGCTTCGCCCCGCCTGCCCGATCCCGGCCCGTGCGCGGGGTGCGGCCCGCGGAGCTCGGCGGCGCGGAGTCCCGCGCGTGGAAGCGATGGGAGCGGGCTGGGAGGGGCCGCAGCGCTGCTGCCATCCGCCTCCAGCAGCGAGCGGCGGGCTGCCTCTGAACGAGGAATGGAGGGCTGAAGAAGGTCCGAGTTTGGACCTCTTCTGCTCTGCTGAGGCGTTGCTCGTTAGCGCGGTCGAAGTGGAGGTTCTAGGATAAGGTATAACTCCGTCCCAACAGCTTGGTTTCATCGGGTCACACTCACACCGGGTCCTTCTCGGTTTTTGTGCAGTCTTTCATGTTGGACGGCATCTGACGATCCTACAATAACCATCCGAACAAGAAAAGCTCTCTTTCTCTCATCTAAATCTACAGAATTTATCTTAAAAAGAGCACACCAGTGCTTTCCCTCTGGAAATCACTGCAGCTCCCTTGTTTTTCTAAAGGCTCTCAGCTTTTGGATATCAGGGGAAGTTCTTCACAGATAGAGCGGTGAGCTGCTGGGACAGGCTGCACAGGGAGCCTGTGGATGCCTCAATGCTGGAGGTCTTCAAGGCCAGGTTGGATGGGGCCCTGGGCAGCCTGATCTGGTATTACAGGTGGAGGTTGGCTGCCCTGCCTGTGGTGGGGAGTTGGAACTTGGTGACCCTTGGCGTCCCTTCCAACCCAAGCCATTTTGTGATTGGGATACATAAGTCAGATGAAGCGCTGTGCTGTGCTCATACACTGTGTAGGTTCAGAGTTGATGCTGCATAAAATCAGCTGAGATACCCCTGTGTGGTGCAGAAACTGCTCTTGTGCCTGGCTGGGTGTGACGGAGCACCGCACAGCACCAGTGATGTCTCTATTCCTAACTCCCTCAGCTTATCATAAATCTTTGGGCCATCCCTCTCCCTTCCAGAGGAGCTGATGGAATGTTGGTCAATGTGTACTCCTGCACTGTAAAACTCAGACCCAGAGGTACTTTACTTGGTCTGGACAGGTTACGAAACACCAGCGGGTGTGGGTTTGGGTCACACTGGGGATTTGGATTTGATTGGAGCTGAAAAGACTTTGCTCAGTTTTTTTTCCCCACCCTCAGTGCTGGAAGAATGGCGTCGCAGTGCACGGCTCCTGCAGGAAGCTGCGTCCCAGCAGCACAGGGAGCTCAACGCTGGGCCTGACAAAACTGCAGCAGCACATGGTGGGGATGGGGGGGTGGGGAGCCTGGGCAGCTGGCCAGGCTCGCGTTGCCTGCCCTGAGCCTCAGAGGAAACGCTTTGCGGACGTGCTTGGAGTTGGGCAGGAAGCTCGCTGTTCTGCGGCGCTGTGGATGGGTGTGGAAAATAAAACCTGGTCCTGAGCAGTGTGGGTCCTGGCTTGGGAGTGTATCACCCAGAGCTTCCCAGAGTGCAGTGTTGTTACGTGCTGTGCCCCCAGCAACAGGTGATCTGTCACATGCGTTTGCTTCAGGCAGATTGAGCTGCTGAATTATTCTTGGTTCTGTGGCACTACCTTGTCTAAGTCATGTGGAGCGTTATTTATTTACTGAGAGCTTTGGCAACTCCAAACAGAAGTGGTGTTGCTTTTAAAAGCTGTCTTTTGGAGGCTGTAAAATTCCCGTTTCGTTACTGCTTGGTTATTTTTTCAGACACTTTTTTTTTTTTTTTTTTTCACTGGGTTTTGCAATCAGAAACAAAACAGCATTCAGTGGAGCTTGTGAGAGATCTTTTGCAAAGTTGTTTCTGCTGTTTATTAAGAATGTACTTACGGCGGTGCTTTGTGCTGTAAGGAGCTCGTTGGAGGTGTGCTTGCTCACTGCTAGGAGGATGTTTCATTTTGGAGAATGTCTGCCTAGCGGCGTGGCTTTGGAACTTCTGGGCACGAAGATTGAGAGTACAAGAGATTGTTCTTTAAAAGTTGTCTCTCTCTGAGGAGCTTCCAGCACCCCATGTGTATGACTTAACTCTCTCAGGGTTTGCTTACTGCTGGTTGTGCACAGGGAGGGGGCTCAGCAAGGCCTGCCTGCCACCTCTCCCATCAGGTCTGTGCTGTTGGCCTCGTGGATTCCTGCTGCTTCTGCCTGTTCCTTCCGTCTACAATCATACGTATTAGGTTTTGGTTTTTAGTTGACTGAAATTGCTGGGAAATTGCTGACAGTCAGCTGTGCCCAGGGAGCGGTGCTGGGGGGAAGGGCTGCTCAGGTAGTTTGGTGCTTTCTGCTGGCTCAGGTTTCCGAGTCGTTCCTGGTGCTGGGCAAGAAGACTGCAAACAGAGCTGCTGCTCTGCACAATGGGGTTCTGACTTGTTTCAGCTTCTTAGCTGCTCTGAGCCCTTGTAAAACAGGGGCTTCATTGTCCTGAGCAGCTCAGACAGGGAGTCCTCTGCCTCAAGCAGTGTGCGATGCAGAGAGGCTTCTTTTCTTGCTGCTCTATTTCCATGGAAAGTCGGGACTCTGTGCTGTCTTTAGCTGCTTTGTCTCTGTCTGGGAGAGGTCAACTTACCCCGAGTGTTCAGCCGCCCTCCTGGTAAAAACTGATCCTCTGACACCATCTCAACCATTAGAGGAAGAAACGGGTAGTTCCATCTCTGCCTGCTCTCTCATGCCAGGGGAATCACAGTGCCTCGATTTCTCTTCATCCTTTTTTTCTCATCCACTTTCCCCTTAAACTGTATTGTATGAAACATGAAGCTCCAGAAAGGTCAGATTTCGGAAGTCTGGCAGCGGAACAAGTGGTAACAGTGCACTTCTGGTGACATCGGGGTGGTTTTTCTGACCTACTGCTATGACAGAGAT